CTATTACACCTTCCCAATCCCAGAGTCTGCAACATGAGGCTGCCAGAGCTGCAATAAAGAAGTCCGCAGATAGAAAGCTCGTGGCGCTCTCTGGTGCTCTCCACCTCCTCTCCCATAATAGCTGAAGGGGCAGATACTCCCAATGTCATCCTCATCCTCATTGACAACTGCAGCCGGTGTGCAGGCAGGCCCGGATTTCCCTCAAGGCCACGAGGCCCCGGCCTCCGGGCGGCAGGGCGCAGAGGGGCGGCAGCGGTGTCCTTGTGGGGAAGTTCCGGGCGTCTAATTGATTTAAAAAAAAATTAAATAAATAAAAATTAGAAAAAAATAATATGAAATAATTGAATACAAAAATAAAAAAGTGATTAATTATTCCCTCCACCGCCGGGCTGGCGGCACTCTCCTCTCCGACGCTCTAGGTGGTGAGCGGGCTCTCACTGTCCTCATGTACAATGCAGGGCTACTGGTCCTGCATAGAACACGGATGACGTCAGGGTGTGAGCACCGAAAAGAAGAGGCTTCAAGAGACCGGCTGCACAGCAGGAGCCTGCCAGAGCGGGGATCAGGTCCCTATTACATCTTATTTCTCCCCTCCCCCCAGACCTAAGACTGGGTAAGTTCAGATCACCTAAACATGCAGAAAGCACAGCTGTCAACGTCATGATCCTGGCGTGGCTTCTTACCTCGGCCGTAATTCCCCCCTTTCAGGTCGAAGGCCTGAGCCTTGACATCCTTGAGCTCGACGTACACAGTGTCTGCGACCTTCAATTTCACATCATTGCAGGTAAAAGAACGCCCCATCGGGGTCACCATCTCTTTTAGGGTTGTAGAGGCATTTCTGAGGAACCCTTCTGAAAAGCAAAGAGAGACTAAGTACGACCGCTGAGAGTAGGGAGACAAATGGCGTTCGGTAGGGGGGGCTGGTCCTGGCTAGAGATTGTATACCAAGGCCGGGACCAGTACTCTGCCCGCCGAGACTGGTATACAAGAAACCATGGCTGGGCATTACGAGGGCCGCTACCCTAAAGAAAGTAGGGCCAACAAGTCATAATTCAGCCTAGATCAATTCTACAATGGCCCTCGGTGAGGGCCATTACACCAGGAACCAAACCCATTATGGTCGGGACTATAACCCAGGAACCAAACCCATTATGGTCGGGACTATAACCCAGGAACCAAACCCATTATGGTCGGGACTATAACCCAGGAACCAAACCCATTATGGTCGGGACTAGAGATGAGCTTCGGCAAAATTTGGCTAGTGCACTGGCATGGATCCCCAAACCGGGCCAGAGATCCGCCATTTAGCGGTGGTAACACTATGATTGGGTTTGGTTTGTAAATGGACCAGCCTGGGATCCCGAGTGATGTCACTGACCAAATATGACTGACCAAAGACCTCATCCAGCATCCCCAGCTGGTATGATGGTGGTAGTATGGTGGGGCAACATCGTCGGGGCGGGGGCAACATCGTTAGGCGCTGGATCACTGTGGCAGTGGGTCATTGACAAGAATCTAAATCACTGGTCATGATTGACATTGGATTTACATCAATGGACACTGTATACTTCGGGGGGGGGGAGGGGTTTGAAGGTTGAGGCTTAGTGAGAGGGGTGTGTCTGCTGTATTACCTTTAAAATGTGTGACAACATTGACGGCCCCCAGATAATAGGAACTTTCCTTCTTGTCCTTCAAAAGGAAGAGAGTGTCAAAAACATTCCATAAATACAATTGTTACTTCAGGATACAGAATAGCAAATCCACACATCCGTTACACCTCCCCCACCACCACCATTGTACCTGCTGGACCTTCACCCATAATCACCCCCATGTTCCACACATCCGTTACACCTCCCCCACCATCATCCGTTACACCATCCCCCCACCATTGTACCTGCTGGACCTTCACCCATAATCACCCCTATGTTCCACACATCCGTTACACCATCCCCAATAGTTCAAGTGAAAGGATTCAGTTCTGGGGCCAAAACCTCCGCTTTATGTATCTTTATTGCCAAACGCCGAGGATTAAAATTCCCGCCACCCAATCTCCATCCTCCGTACCTTTTTGAATGTCAGTTCAAGACTTCCTCCTGGAAAGGTCAATATCAGATTTGCTGTGTCATCACCACAACTCCCATTGGTCGTTGTGTTCGGAGGCGATGGGATCGTGTACTGAGGAACAAAACAAACACAAGGATCAGTGCAAGCCACACCAACTGATGTGTGTATAGCATGTGGTGCCTAACGAACCAGGACCTCCTTCCTCCTGCTGGAGACCCCTCTAGTGATAACTAAAGATCTATATAGAGGAGTCAGGACCTCCTTCCTCCAGCTGGAGACCCCTCTAGTGATAGATCTATATAGAGGGATCAGGACCTCCTTCCTCCTGCTGGGGACCCCTCTAGTGATACCTAAAGATCTATATAGAGGGATCAGGACCTCCTTCCTCCTGCTGGGGATCCCTCTAGTGATAATAAAGATCTATATAGAGGGATCAGGACCTCCTTCCCCCCGCTGGAGATCCCTCTAGTGATAATACAGATCTATATAGAGGGATCAGGACCTCCTTCCTCCTGCTGGGGACCCCTCTAGTGATAATAAAGATCTATATAGAGGGATCAGGACCTCCTTCCTCCTGCTGGGGACCCATCTAGTGATAATAAAGATCTACATAGAGGGATCAGGATCTCCTTCCCCCTGCTGGGGACCCATCTAGTGATAATAAAGATCTATATAGAGGGATCAGGACCTCCTTCCTCCTGCTGGGGACCCCTCTAGTGATAGATCTATATAGAGGGATCAGGACCTCCTTCCTCCTGCTGGGGACCCCTCTAGTGATAGATCTATATAGAGGGATCAGGACCTCCTTCCTCCTGCTGGGGACCCCTCTAGTGATAGATCTATATAGAGGGATCAGGACCTCCTTCCTCCTGCTGGGGACCCCTCTAGTGATAGATCTATATAGAGGGATCAGGACCTCCTTCCTCCTGCTGGGGACCCCTCTAGTGATAGATCTATATAGAGGGATCAGGACCTCCTTCCTCCTGCTGGGGACCCCTCTAGTGATAGATCTATATAGAGGGATCAGGACCTCCTTCCTCCTGCTGGGGACCCCTCTAGTGATAGATCTATATAGAGGGATCAGGACCTCCTTCCTCCTGCTGGGGACCCCTCTAGTGATAGATCTATATAGAGGGATCAGGACCTCCTTCCTCCTGCTGGGGACCCCTCTAGTGATAGATCTATATAGAGGGATCAGGACCTCCTTCCTCCTGCTGGGGACCCCTCTAGTGATAGATCTATATAGAGGGATCAGGACCTCCTTCCTCCTGCTGGGGACCCCTCTAGTGATAGATCTATATAGAGGGATCAGGACCTCCTTCCTCCTGCTGGGGACCCCTCTAGTGATAGATCTATATAGAGGGATCAGGACCTCCTTCCTCCTGCTGGGGACCCCTCTAGTGATAGATCTATATAGAGGGATCAGGACCTCCTTCCTCCTGCTGGGGACCCCTCTAGTGATAGATCTATATAGAGGGATCAGGACCTCCTTCCTCCTGCTGGGGACCCCTCTAGTGATAGATCTATATAGAGGGATCAGGACCTCCTTCCTCCTGCTGGGGACCCCTCTAGTGATAGATCTATATAGAGGGATCAGGACCTCCTTCCTCCTGCTGGGGACCCCTCTAGTGATAGATCTATATAGAGGGATCAGGACCTCCTTCCTCCTGCTGGGGACCCCTCTAGTGATAGATCTATATAGAGGGATCAGGACCTCCTTCCTCCTGCTGGGGACCCCTCTAGTGATAGATCTATATAGAGGGATCAGGACCTCCTTCCTCCTGCTGGGGACCCCTCTAGTGATAGATCTATATAGAGGGATCAGGACCTCCTTCCTCCTGCTGGGGACCCCTCTAGTGATAGATCTATATAGAGGGATCAGGACCTCCTTCCTCCTGCTGGGGACCCCTCTAGTGATAGATCTATATAGAGGGATCAGGACCTCCTTCCTCCTGCTGGGGACCCCTCTAGTGATAGATCTATATAGAGGGATCAGGACCTCCTTCCTCCTGCTGGGGACCCCTCTAGTGATAGATCTATATAGAGGGATCAGGACCTCCTTCCTCCTGCTGGGGACCCCTCTAGTGATAGATCTATATAGAGGGATCAGGACCTCCTTCCTCCTGCTGGGGACCCCTCTAGTGATAGATCTATATAGAGGGATCAGGACCTCCTTCCTCCTGCTGGGGACCCCTCTAGTGATAGATCTATATAGAGGGATCAGGACCTCCTTCCTCCTGCTGGGGACCCCTCTAGTGATAGATCTATATAGAGGGATCAGGACCTCCTTCCTCCTGCTGGGGACCCCTCTAGTGATAGATCTATATAGAGGGATCAGGACCTCCTTCCTCCTGCTGGGGACCCCTCTAGTGATAGATCTATATAGAGGGATCAGGACCTCCTTCCTCCTGCTGGGGACCCCTCTAGTGATAGATCTATATAGAGGGATCAGGACCTCCTTCCTCCTGCTGGGGACCCCTCTAGTGATAGATCTATATAGAGGGATCAGGACCTCCTTCCTCCTGCTGGGGACCCCTCTAGTGATAGATCTATATAGAGGGATCAGGACCTCCTTCCTCCTGCTGGGGACCCCTCTAGTGATAGATCTATATAGAGGGATCAGGACCTCCTTCCTCCTGCTGGGGACCCCTCTAGTGATAGATCTATATAGAGGGATCAGGACCTCCTTCCTCCTGCTGGGGACCCCTCTAGTGATAATAAAGATCTATATAGAGGGATCAGGACCTCCTTCCCCCTGCTGGAGATCTCTTATGTTTTTCATCCCATAGTTCAGTATGCCTTCCTAGCCACACTGAGCACCCCAAGTCCTTTTCCTCAACAGTTCTGGCCACCGCTGTACCCCAATATTGTACTCTATAGGAGGATTCTTCTTTCATAAGGTAGACTGTGCTCAGGACTTCCACCATACTCCTGAGCTATGAGCGGCGGTAACTTACATTGATGAAACCGGTGCCGTTGATCTGTAAAATGAAGACCGCCTTTATCCTCAGACAGACTCCCGAGGTGCCGTTTAGGAAGTACTCTGCGGGGGACGGTGGGGACGGTGTGGTAGAATGTGGAGTTGTATGGTTAGTGGGCGGGGTAGAAGTGTGGTTGCTAGGGGCACTTGTGGTTAGTGCAGTCGTGTGATTGGTGTGTGCCGCTGTCAATGGCTCAGTCGTATGATTGGTGTGTGGTGTCGGGGATGGTTCGGTTGTATGATTGGTGTGTGCCGTTGTCGGTGGTTCGGTCGTGTGATTGGTGTGTGCCGTTGTCGGTGGTTCGGTTGTATGATTGGTGTGTGCCGTTGTTGGGGCATCTGTAGTGTGGTTTGTATGAAGCGTCGAATGTATCGTTGTGCGGTGTGTGGTAGTTGTTGTCTTACAATTGACACACTGGGGCGTAGTTGTAATCTGCACAGTAGCCGATCTTGGTGTGGCAGCTTGAGTGTCGCCGTGACTCCCTATAACAAAAAAAAAGACAAAATTCAGACACTTGGGTGACATCACAAAGAACGGCTACGGCAAACTTGGCAGACTTGTCCTCGAAATGATCCATTCACGTCGCAATCACCTGACAGCAAAGAGAAAAGATCTGAAATCTGCCCATCTATAGCAGGCAGAGTGGCCAACAGCTGGATCGGGGACCCGGTGCTGGTACGGGAACTGGAAAGACATGAACCAGGAACAAGAGTCTGAGGTTTGCCATGTGCCCGTAGCACACGTTGCCGGTTCTCAGCTGACCTACCATGGCAAATGAAGCTCCAAGAGGGACCATGAGTACGGGAAGTTGCACGTTGATGGCACGCACAGTCCCACCAGCACCTACAGACACGTCATGGAAGGTGAGTGATGTGCACAATCATTTTTTGTCACGCTTGTGGCTGCGAGTGAAACGTCTTCGGGTGCTGCCGGTAGAGTTGACAACCGACCATAAACTTTTTGACCTTCAGAACAACATGAAAGTTAAAAGGAGAACTACGAATGGGGGGGGGGGGGATATACCCAGCTTTATAACGTGGTTCTGAGCCGACCTGTGACAATGAGACTGTCACAGGTCGGCTCAATAGATCGGGAAGTGAGCGAACACATACCGGCACTTGCTCACTTCTCGATCTATCCCTGCAGAGAGTGGTGTCTGTCACTCACGGCTCCCTGCAGGGATTCCCCCCCTGCCCGCTCCGATCCTCCAGCGCTGACTGGCGGAACGGACGGGGCGGGCACAGCTGGCTCTGCCTCTAGATGGGCAGAGCCAGCTGTCAATCACGCAGCTGTGTGGATCTCGACAGTGATGTCGGGATCCGTCCCGGCTGCGACGTCGTAGTATACCGCGAGCTGTAGCTCTCTATATACTGAGCCTAGGGTGACGGGAGGACGCTAGTTTGAAGGAGAACTATGGGGAAAAGCCCTGACCTCATAGTTCTCCTTTAACCCCTCAACATCCAACAAACCCTCCATTACAAACTGCATGAAATAGATGGATGTCTAGGTGGGATTCATCACCATTCCCCTCTTCACTGCTCAGCTGGTGGAATCTCATATAGCAACTGAGGAGCTTCACTTACGCATCAGAACCTCCAAACACGGCAAGTCTCCGGGCCCTGCCTGTCCTTAGCCTACTACAAAACCTTTACGAATCTTCTTGCACCACGCTTTGAAATACCTTTCATACAATCTCAGCAGACCACCGGCCTCCTATCGAACATGCTTACAAGTTCCTATTGCAGTAATTCTTAAACCAGATAAAGATCCTTCCCAATGCAGCAGCTTCGGTCCAATTAGATTGTAAGCCCCCAGGGGCGGGGCCCTCCTTACCATCTTGTCTTGAATTGTATTGTGATTGTAATGTCTTCCTTATAGTGTAAAGCGCTGCGCAAACTGTTTTGTATATAAATCCTGTATTATAATAATAATAATAATAATAAATGTAAATCTAAACTATTTGCCACCGGACTCACACCTAACCTAGCCGGGATTATTCCGTTAGATCAAGTTGGTTTAATTTCTACACCACTTGATTGAAGGCCATACCAATGTTTCTATTGTCCACCGATGCAGGAAAAGACCTCCGATCAAGTACACTGGCAATTCCCAACCTATATTCCACCCCGGCCGGGTCTCCAAAAACACACGATCAATTGGATCTCTGTACTGCATATATTTATTAATAAGGTAAGAGGTAAGTCTATAATTGGGCCTCTATATAGATCGTTGGTTCGGCCACATCTGGAGTACGCGGTCCAGTTTTGGTCGCCGGTACTGAGAAGGGATGTCCTTGAACTGGAGAGAGTCCAGCGGAGGGCAACAAAACTAATTAGGGGAAGGGAGGACCAGAGCTATGAGATGAGGAGAAGGGGGAGGGGCTGGAGGACCAGAGCTATGAGATGAGGAGGAGGGGGAGGGGCTGGAGGACCAGAGCTATGAGACAAGGCTTCTGACCTTAAACATGTTTACGCTGGAAGTAAGGAGATTAAGGGGGTATATGATTTTCATGTACAAGATGTTCAATGGTGACAGCAACATTGGCAACAAACTGTTTGAGATTAACTCCGTAACAAAGACTGGAGGCCGCCACCTAAAGTTGGTGGAGAAAAAATTCCAGCACAATGGGCGAAGAGGGTTCTTTACAGTAAGAGCGGTTAAGGTCTGGAACTCACTGCCATCGGCCGTCATCTCAGCCAAGAGTGTAGATTTGTTCAAGAAACGTTTGGACAATTTCGTGAGGGACCGTAATATCCGGGGGTACCAGTATCCCTAAGAATGAGATGATGCGTGGACCGATATGGGCTGGACTTGATGGACGTATGTCTTTATTCAACCCCAAATACTATGTAACT